AAGTTTTATTCTTGAACATGAACTTTGTTTAGTTGAAAACGTCGAATATTAATAAAACTAAATAATGAAGTGAAGTAGCGCTGATGTTATCGTACCTTTCATTTCAAAGAAAATGGAAGCGTTTTTGTCAGATATGAGTGAAGTCTGCGAAATGGTGGATGAGACTATAGCGTTCAATCAAGACGTTCTTTGCGTCCCTAAAGTATAATCACATAAATCCTATAACTGATAGTTGATGTTCGTCACGTACAAAATCAAAAGTTTTACATACGAAGCTTCGGTGGCAAAAATCAATTAAAGACACGATTCGCCAGCCCATCAAAAAATCAAGTCACAAGTGAAAACTTGACATATACGTTTTATTTCATTGTTGACTGTTTTCTAATCATAGAAACCTCTTTGTTGTTAGGCTTCATCAGAATGCGCTGTTGATGAGAAGGATTAAGCGTAAGATGGCTGTGGGTATTACGGGCCGAAATTGCATTTTTCTTAATCAAAACTGAACCAAAATTCAAATATATTAGATCCACTTTATCGAAATATTGCATTTATTTTATACATAACATGCTTCACACGCATGAAAAGCACTGTTCCTTTTGATCGATTAATCAAAGTGCAATGAATGAAATGGTGCATTAATTTTTACATCACTCAAATATGGTCGTAGGTGTTATTTCGGTGAAAAACAAAAACTGACTACAAAAATGAGTGTAATAGTCGAGGTAGTGAATTCTAACGTTCCCGAAGACTATCGATATCCAAGAGGGTAGCGAAGAAAAGTTCACGGCAACGTTTTGTTGCAGCGCTCTGGCATTGCCGGTCCTGGAGAATCTTTGTTTGTCTATGTGTGTTACGCTATGTAAAGAGTGCTTGCTCTAACATTTGTACCGAAATCTTTTAATGAAAGATAAGAAACAGTTGCAAGCATTATTTATCAAGATCCCAGCCTTGAAACGTTGTCTCTTGTAAAAACTTTAAGTTTTGATATTTTCGAAATTTTGTTCACGTATTGCCCGTGGATTTTCAGTTTTGGCAAAATCGATTAACAGTCCTAGTTCGGTGATGTTTACTGATGTACTTTGAACGAAAACAATTGTGTTGAACAGTATATGATTTAAAATTAAGCGAGTAAGATAATATTAGATTTTTGTCACGTATAGCTTCCTGTTTACTAGTCTTACTTAACGAAGGACTTAACATTAACTAATGATAATGAAGTCGCCGACGAAGTAATGATTACACAGAAACCGGAGATATCAGAGCTCTTGGTTAAAAGTGAGAAAATACTTCAGATAGAAGATTATACCAGAATTGTTTTGAACAGAAATTACTTACGGAGTAACTATATGAGAAGGTGAACTACGCAACAAGAGTTTGACCGACATTTTGTTGTGCTTCCTCACCTATCCAGTTCATGTTAAAAGCCCGAAAGAAGGTGGATAATTGAATTTTCTACAAGGTGTACTAAGTTGACTTTGGACTTTTTAAGATACTGTACCAAGAAACTGAGTGCTTAGTGTTTCTATTCAAGGAAGATCTTGATTACAAGTTTTTGACATGGATAGCGTAGAGCTGAAAACTAAAGATGAAAACATGAGTTCACGAAGTCGATTTGTATTTTGTGAAAAGCAAGCGACGACACTCTGACGAGTTTTTGTTCGTAGAGATTATCTTCTTTGTTACTCATCAAGGAAGTTTTGTCGGCTGTGCTGAGTACTGTGGGGGTGGTTGATTGCCAGGTTGAGTGTAAGGACTGCTTCCCATGTAATACTGTCCTGGTTGTTGCGGGTATTGACCAGGATATGCGAAAGACATACCTTGTTGCTGCTGCTGTTGTTGTTGTTGTTGTTGCGGTATCTGAACACGATTCTTCTTTTTACATATACATACGATGGTTATAATAATACCAATCAACACAGCCGCACCGGCTAAACAGCCGATAACGATACCGATAATAGTACCAGTTGATACTAAACTACTGTATATGCTGGAACACGCGGATGTGCATGAAGAATAAGAACTATA